AAAAAACCAAGCATGCAAGTCTGAATGAAATCAAGTCATGCCAAAGTGGTTCTTAGTGAGCGGTGCTTCTGCAGGCTCTGCAGCCCAGCTGAAGAGATTTTAGTGTCGGGGCAGAGTGAGCAACAACCCTAACCTTAGACTGAATTGATAGTTAGGCTATGTACAGCTAGTAATATCCCAAGGGCTTTTCCATATACACCGGATATAAAAATTTAATCAGACTGATGGTATTTTTGTATTTTACAGAAGTTGTCTAAGTAGTAACAGGTACATACTTTTTAAAAAATATATATTGGCAATAGGAAACAATAGAAAGCAAAACCGAATTTTTTTGTGCTGGTTTTGCTTTGTTTCTAATTAATTAATTCCAGGACTGATCATTCAGTGTATATAGATGTGTAGAGACAAAAAGCTCACCAAACTTAATGCTATTAGACTGCAGAAGAGTAACAATACCTGAGCTTTTAAAAGTGTATGTGAGAAACAGGCTGTTAGGTTGCTTCTAATTTCAAAGGCCAGAGCATGAGAAGGGGCACAGAGGAGAAATTTAGAGGGTCCTTCATAAGGCAATGGTCATCCTGTTTTCTGATACATTAGGGCACATGGAGAAAAGAAGATTTTTTTAGCAAGGTTTATGAAGTCCTGGTGGGGCTGGACCTCAATATCTGCAAAGTAAGACCTGCCCCAAAGTGTTGCTGCTTCATGTCACCAATTTCATAGACAATATAAAGCTCAAGCAACGGTAGTGACTTCTTTTTTGACGGTCATGCAGTATTCCTTCTCCAAAAACAACATGTATTTGATTGCACTCTATATCTTAGTGTACTAGAACTAATCTACTAAAATATTCATGTAGCAAAGAAAAATGGGAATAAAAAAAAAATAAAGTATGTGCAGTGTGTCGGAATTAATGTGCCTAGTGGAACATTAACTTTTGTATTTCTAAGATTTTTTAACCTTGCCACCTTAATGGTGTTCTGACGCAGCATTTTACATTTAGCATTTTTCTCTTTTAAAGTTCAAAGACAAAATGAAATAAGGATGGGAAGGGGAGGGGTAAGTGGAAGAAAATAAAAGAGGACCAGAAACAATAGAGCAGAGTCCTTTGCTTGGTGAGTAAAGCTCATAAACACCTTGAACTAATAATTTCATACATAGGATGAAATTCAGAGCGCGCAAGCATAGAGAGCTATGCAATAATTAGGGAAAAAAAAAAAAGACTTAATGAGATTTAAGTCATACATATGCAGAGCTGACCCTTAGAAAGTCTTAAATGAATGTCACCCTCACATGGCCACTCTCCTAAATGGATGTGCATGAAACATTAATACATTTCCATGAAAAATCCCATATGTCTTTATTTTGTTTTCATTTTTAGCTATGAATTTCTGCTGCACATGTGCTGAACCCTGTGCTTAACAGTGAGCAGTCTTCATTAACACAAGATTTCAAAAAATATATAAGGCATTTGTAATGTTAAAGGCTCCTGAAAATCCAAACTGTAAGAATGATTTTCAAAACATTGAAACTGAGTACCTAACTCTATTCTGCCCTCAACTACAAATTACAGATGAAGCTTTTTATGCTCTGACTGAAAAAGAAATAATGAAAACTTATTTTTGGCAACAAACCAACTGGGGAAAATTATATTCCAAACTGCAAATTTTATAAAAATTGAGAGTGTGAGAACAAAAGAGAAAAAGAAAAAAGGGTGGTTTGTAATGAAGACAGTTTTACAAGTGTAGCTGTGATGGGCATACTAATCACCTGCTGTATCAGGTTAGAGAGGACATCTAAACTGTCTTGGAATATGAATGTACCTAATCCATCTTCCCCCCCCGCAGATGTATGTCCTGAGTCCTGCACAGATACATTTTCCTGAAGGCACAAGGGCTCTGTAGGATTATACAGGTCTTTCTGCACAAAGCTGATTGCAAGAGGTGGTCTGCTGGCAGCTCCCCAGTGGAGCACATCTTATGTTAGAGTTGAGGTGATGAACTTTAGTCTTAACAGAGGAAAAAAACCCAAAGCATCCTTGATTCATTAAAATAAACTTGTATCAGTTGTTTTAAAATTATATCTTTTAAAATGCATCTTTAATTAAATAGAAGAGGTCAAGCTTTAAGGTTTTCCTTCATTTTCTGGCTGAATACACTCTTTGCAGAATTAAATTTAATTGTACAGAAATATGCATGGCCAAGGACATAAAGTTATGAATCAATTAAAAAAAAATAAAATTCCAGATTCTTCCCCATCCCAGATTTCCCTATAAACCTGAAGCCTATGCAGTTCTTCAACATATACTTTTAATCAAGGATATAACGAAGTGTGTGCTCAGGTCATTGAAATGAACAAGATGTCTTGGCTCTAAGTTTAATTAAAAGATTTCTTCATTGAATTGTGTTGTACAAAGTTCTCATTTGTTTTATGTTTGTTGTAATTACAAGTGGTCTCTTGTCATGCAGCTCTACGCACTTCTCTCCTGAACCTGTACTTTAATCTGTACCAGGGGGTAAAAGGCACAAGTAGGACATTAATCTCCCTAAAACAACTTTCTCTCTTGCATAGATATCCAGCTAAATAGAAATCTGCTAATTTCTGGAAAAAATGTAGCTTTAGCGAGCATGGATTGACTTTTAGTTTCTCACTACCCGTTCCCTTTACTGCCTGCTTGGCTGCTTTATCTATAATTGTACCATAGACTAAATTCACTGACATATTTTAAACACATATTTAATTGTAAGCATGTGCTTAAATGTGATGGGCTACAACAGGAGTTAAGTAAATAAGTGCTGTGGTAAGTAGGGATTAGATCTATCTGCCTTGCTGGTTCAGGGTGTTTCAAACGGGGACAGGTCCCTTCCTTGTGCTTTCTGTCTTGTACCTCCAAAATTGTACTCAGCTACCCAGGAGGAAGTGTTTGTCCTTTGATAGCTGTCACTGAAAATGTGGTGCCGGCATGTGCAAAGGTTTGACATCTATTCATTGTTGACAAGCAAAATTGCACTGGGCTGTCTAGTTAGCTGTGTCTTGACAGCAAGAATGTTTTGCCCTGTGGGATTCATGGGGTTTTGAGTGATTACAGAGTGGACAGACATCATGAATGGTTTTGGGTTGTCCAGTGCTGGGAACTAGATGTATAGCTCTTCCTGGGAAAAAGTGAGTGATGGCTTATTGACTCCATTATTGGTCACCTGGCCCCGCTCTGTTTTATACCTGCCTTTACCGGATCAAACTGATGTGAAAACAAGCTGTGGAGATGTTTATTGTTTTAATTAAAAAGCCAGATGGATTAGGCAAAGAGCAGAAGGACTGCCATCTCAGATTCAACCAGATGGCCTGGGGGCCCGTCCAACCCTGTGTCCCCACTATAAAGGTCAAGCAGAGTGATTCTTCTCCGCATATGTACTCCCACCTTTCAGCACACTAAAGGTTAGGGACTTCCTGCACAAGCGGCTGCATCAGAATTGTCACATTTAACAATCCACAACAGAACTATCTTCCGTGAATTTATAGGATCATTTTGCGATGTCTGTAGCATCCTGTGGCAAGGACTTCCACAGAGTAATCTGGTTGTCTTCCTATTTTTTCTGTGATTACACTAGAAACACTCTGTAGGGGTATTACTGCACTACTCTTAAAGTCAATATTACAAGGTATACACAGACACAAAAGTACAATTCGTTAGAGCAGTTAATTAGCATGAATCAAAGATGATGCTCTGAGGCTTCGTAAGGAGAAGACAATTGCATGGGATAAGCAATAATCTTTTTGTGAATTAAATTTCATCAGTTGTGCCCGTCTTTGTTGGAAGTGGCTGAGTGACATTCAGTGGCATTCAGTTGCAGAGAGATGTCAGCAATGTTTACATCAAAGCAGAAAACAGATGCAAGTATTGCCTGTACCTCTTCTACAGGGTCCTGAGCGCTCCGTGAGGTTTGGCTGCCCTTAATTCCTGTTGCAGATGAAGGAAATGAGCTCCTCATAGAAAGTGCATAGTTCTTTGGCGGTTAATGCAGAAGGCTGTGAAAACACTGAAGAGACCTAACTGTGATCTTACAATTCTAAATGCAATGCCTTTGTTTTCTCTGTGGTTCCCTTTGTTTACTCTTTATATAAAATTTGGTCCACAGAATTCAACTGCTGCAGAAAACTTTCCATGATCATTTAATTCTCTGGTATACTACAATTTCTTTTTGTCTTCCGCTGTAACAAACATCCTGTACATAACTCATTAAGGCAAAATCAAAAATCCCTCTTATTTTCTCAGTACATTAGCTTTTCACCTGTCATACCACCTTTCACTGAAATTCTGCCAAGACCTCCAAGCTAAGCAGAGTGAACATATATCAGTAGGGATCTCCAAGAAACACAGGCTATTTCAGTATTTGGCATACGTTTCTCTGAATCAACTCTGAACAAAGCAGGATGGTAGCAGAATAATACTGGGGTGTTAGAGGACTTGCATTTGGCAGAGGTACATCCTGTTTCTTCCCATTTGTGGTGATTAAAAATCCCAAGTCACTTTCTGTAAGAGAAATACCATGTTGTCTTGACTCAGCCATAGTGCTGAGCAAATGCATTTTGGATGTACTATATAGTGGGCTTAGTTTTCCATGTCATGCTGTCTTTGTTTTTGGTTTCTGCCCTCTGGTTTTGACTCTTACACCTGACTCTTCAATGACAAAATCATACTTCACTGTAAAATGAAGATATGACTGCAGTAGTGATACGATCATCTCTCCATCTCTTCCCCTGCACCCTCAGTTACTGACTCTTGATCTGTATTTATCCCATGAGATACCGAAGTTCTGTTATTCTTATTTTCATAGATGAGGAATGAGTAATTAAGAGACTTGCCCATTAAAAGAATTTTATGGCAAAGAGAGTCATACACACACTGCCTTGCTGCCAGGACTTAATTGATAAACTCCCTGGTGCGTGGGCTGAAATTTTTTTAACTGTCTCATCACATTTCCTATTTTCATTTTCTCTTTCAGACTAACAGCTAAAGCTGTCGCTGTTCTCTTACCGATCTTGGGAAGCTCATGGATCTTTGGGATTTTGGCTGTCAATGCCCATGCATTAGTATTTCAGTATATATTTGCTGTTTTCAATTCACTACAAGTAAGTACCTGGTGGGAAAGTTTGCTGCTACCAAACTGCTGCTGAGATCCAATAAATGGATCATTAGTAATGTTTTCACATGCTTGCGTTTATTGGATTTTTTTTTTTATGTTCCTTCCTCTGTCTTTTAAGTCTGTGCTGACCATACAGTACTGGCAATTGTTTAGTCTCTGTTTGAACAAAACTTTTATCCCACTCCTTAGTGTTTCCAGTAGCAATAATTAAATAAATGAGACAGTGAGCTTGAGAAATGAAATTCATTCTTCCAGCACCATGTATGACAGGCAAGATTCTTCAGTAGAGATACCAGTACAGTTTTTCAGTTTGAGGCTTCATCACTGAGACTAAATGAAAGCGAACAGAAGTTTGTGGGAAAGGTGGGGTATTAGGAGAAAAATGGAGCTATTCTGCATGCTGCACAACTCTTGCATGCAAGCAACTAGCCCTCATCTTCTTAATACACCAATCCAGAAAAATAGCTCTGTCCAAGAGGGAATATAAGCATCTGCTTAGCTTTAAGCAGACATTTCCGTAAAGGCATAAATCTATAGGTGTGTTATAATTCTTTCCCAAATAATGATTACAAAGGGGGAGAAAAAATGAACTCACATAAATCCTTTTTTGTCTCAGGAACAAGTAGCACTATCGTCACAAAAAGAAGTTCAACAGAGTTCTCCCCGTAAGCTGATAAGAAAAGTTCCAATTTTCATCCAAAATAAAAAACATGAGTTTGACTGAATACACCCTAAAAAAAAAAAAAAGAAAAAGGGGATGGGACCTTTTCACTTTCCATTGGACAAAAAGCCCAATGACAGCAAAGTTCTGTTGTGAAAATTTTCCTAATGCTAATACTTTGTTTCTCTAATGTGAAAATTATTGATCTGGTGTTTCCCAAAGAGCATTTCCTTCTGCCTTTATCTTTGCAAGCACAGACAAAAAGTTCTCCTGTTGTCATGAAAACAGAATTCCTGCTTCTTTTCAGCCAAATTTCTTTTTTAGGACCCCAAAGGGTAGGAGGTGCTCTTTTACAGGAAAAGGTCCAGACAAGCCTCATAGTAACCTGATGCTGGAGGTTTCTCCAGTTTAACATGGAGCAGAGTTAGGCCTGCTCTTCAATATTTATAGATCTCCAGCTACTCAATACCTGTTTTATGTAATACTGCAAGAAATACATTATTGTATTTCATTCTTCACCTTTCTCGTTTCCATCTGTTTTCAGGGATTTTTCATGTTCCTGTTTCACTGTCTGCTGAATTCAGAGGTATGTAACCAAATGGTGCTAACAAATTTGGTGTTACAAATTCAAGTAACATGACTGTAAACCAAGAAGAGACTTTCTCCGTTATCATTGCCTGCTATGCCACTGATTTCTTTTTTCTTTCAATTAATACACAACTGTTAGTGACTTTGTGACTTGTGGCATTTTGACCCATGTTTGTCATTTATTTTATTTAACATAAGAAAGGGGTTTTTTTAAAAAAAAAAAAAGAGAGAGAGAGGAGAAGGCAGCTCAAGACTTAAGGAAAGAAGCACTCCTGAGGGCTGGAGGGACTGATCAGGGGGTGTGGGCTGTGCTGCTAAGGGAGGATGCCTAAAGAGTGGGAGCAGGACTCACTCTGGTAGTCCCCGTTGGGGGGGGCCTCTGGCTTTGTTACATCTGCAGTTCCAGAGAGGAAAATAAATATTATTCTCAGCAAAACATATTTTTGGACATTGCTCATCAATCCTTAATGGGAAACCAAACAGAGCAGAACATATTCTAGGTATTTTTCTTGGCAGGAAGTTCAGGTTTTCATAGTGGACCAAGAGGCATCTTTTTGCATTCAGGGTGTCTCAGAGCAACTGAGGTAAAGCCAAGGCAAGGCTGATCTAAATGGGGCTTCTGGAGACCATCTCTGCTGGGCCTGGAGCTTGCAGCATCCTCTCCTCCCATGGCAGATAGCAGAAAATGCTCAGCAACATGTATTACTGGTAACGAAAGTTTCTTATGAAAACTATTTCCAGCATGCTGACAGGGATACTGCTCTGTGAATACCCACACAGCTTTGATTCTCCCACAGCTCTTTCTTTGGGATGCTACTAAGTAGCTCTGCCCCGTAGTCTGCTGCTTCTTCCTATGCAACGCTAGCACTCCAGCTCTTCTGTGGAGACATTATTATTTATTAATGTTTGCCAACTTATTCAGGCTTAGAGCATTGGTATGATCTTTGCTACAACCAGTTTGGAGAATCAGGACTGACTATGAAATTCTTGATCTTGATTGAAATCAGCTGAAGTGAAGCAGGCAGGTTAAAGGGAAGGAGGAAAAATATTTATTTATTCTATTCTGCCCCCAGCTCAGAAAGCTTTCTTCCTGGTGTCAAGCTTCAAATGTCTTACATCAAATACAACTATTTGAATTGCTGCCATTTTTCCAGGAACCTCATGAGAAATTAAATTCAGAAACTTTTCAGAATTTGTATCCTCAAAAAAACAGTTCATATATAGCTAACATCAACTGTCATTTTTGGAGAGCAGGTCTTACTGGCTCCATCGTATGCTGTGCATATGTAAAAAACTTCTTCAGCTAAACTGCGAGAAATCTTCTTGAGAATTTCATTTTTACCATAGAAGTAAAACTCAGATACAGTAAAGTAAAATCAACAGATGTTTCCAAGTCGTTGGGTAAAAATGAGAGCTTTATTCCCAGTGTGTCTGGGAATTTTAAAGAAGCTGAGGAGAACGGGTCTGATGGGGACTTCAGCAGCCTCTCCAGCAGCACACGTCCAACATGCCAGTGTCACCCCTGACAGCTCAGTCATCGAAGCCCCTCGACCTCCCTCAGCAATTTGGCTCTGTGCCTCATTAGCCTCACTACTGCCACTCCTAAATTGTAGTTTTCATCTTTCTTACTGCAGCTTGAGCTTCTCATTTCCTGTTTTAGCTACTATGAGTATAAAGAACAGATAATTCCCTTCCTCTCTGCAGCAAAGGGAAAACTGTAAGACTTATCCTCTCTTCCCCTCGTCTCCTCTTTTGATTAAACAACCTGAGCTTCTCGTAACATGTGTTTGCTTGAGCTGTGATCATCCTCACTGCTCTCCTGAGAGCTGTCGCCAGCTGGTCCCTGGTTTTCCTGGGGTACCGCACCCAGTACTCTAGCTGTGCCAGTGTAGAATAGGGAGGAAAGATTACTTTGTGTGTTTGGCAGACTATGCTCCTCCTGACAAGATGTTCTTTAGCATGACATCGTAACACTGGTCAATCACTCCCAGCCAGTAATCCTTGATAAATCTCACCAACTTGCCTAAAGAACAACTGCCTCACTATCGTTTCTTTATGCAGCTGATTATTTTCACCTTGGTGCAGAATCTTCCTACATCTATAGGGGATTTCATTCAGCATCTTTAAATAATTTCAGTTTTCCAAAGGCTGGCAGCTGGCTTATGTCCTCGTGGCATCTGAGAACCATCAGGGCTGCGTGAGCTCCAGGGAGAGTCTGCCCATACCGGGAGCTTGTGGTCCTGTCTGGGGCTGTATATTTAGAAAATGTGCAAGTGTCCTAGTCAGCTGCTGAAAATCAATATAATGGCACCTCATGAATTCTTTCAAACCAGAACTGCAAATACTGGGGATGTATGCTTATATGCCCTGCAGTTTTGGTTTTTTGCTTTTATCATTTGTTATTTTTAACAAGATGAATGGTAACACAGTCATACTTTTGACATCTAGGAGGATGGGATAACCCAGATGATAACATGAAAATGTTGCCAATGAAATGAGAAATATGTGAGGTTACACAATGCTTCGTATTTAAAGTATGGATAATTGAAAAGTAAAGTTAAATTTTAAAATAAGACCATAAATATAAATAAAAATGTAGGAGTGGATTGTTTGCTGTTTTTTAATACAGTGATGTTAATGTGGAGGAAGGATAATGGGGAAGTGATTGTAAACTACACCTGTGAAAATAAACACAACTTTCTCAAAAGAAATCTTCTACCTGGTTTCATTTTTTTCCCCAAAGGTTAGAGCTGCTTTTAAGCACAAAACCAAGGTCTGGTCCCTTACCAGTAGTTCAACTCGCAACATCAATGTGAAACCCTTCAATTCAGACATTGTAAGTATTCCTCTTCCTTTTTTTTTTTCTTTTTTTTTTTTCCTCCCCCCATTGTACTTCAAAGTGTTCCACATTAAATTCTGTTGGAAAGAATAGGACACAAGAAGGCACGTGGGTATTTTTAGTACCTAACCTAATGCATGGTGTAGACAGGTGCAATCAGCAAGTATTAAATTGCAGCTACAATATCTGTTTTGAAAGTAAAGGACAAAATTCTGCCTTCTGGTAAACTATCAAATAAAAGTAAACAAAGGTTTATGAACTCTGGAGCACGGTTCAATGACACTATTCCCACCAATTGTAATGGACTTCTTATTACACATTCAAGCAGCATTTTGGCAGTGTATTTGTCTGATGATGATGGCTTTTTGATAGTGTACTTTTACATTTAAGCCTGAGGAATAAACTCTAAAATAAGTCAACACATGAATATGCTTTTCTAGATCTCCTTGAATTTGTTTTTATAAAGAACCAGACTTCTGAAGTGATAGGTGTTATTAAGTGATTGCTGCCAATCACCTTAGATCCGGACAATAACTGTTTAAAAATCCTTCATGGCATATGCTCTCAGGACTCTCTGACAACACTGTAATGTAAACAGATGCTTTAAAGCTTTTATTTCATCCAGACAAGCGTGGTTTAGCAAAATAAATAAATCTATTTTCAATATTATTTTGTTTTCCAGATGACTGGGAACAGGCCAGGTACAACCCCCACAAAGCTGAACACCTGGGATAAAAGCACCAATTCAGCCAACCGCATTGATTTATCGGCAGTCTGACAGTAATAAGAGCTTCTCCGTGAAAACCAAGCCATACATTCAGGACCTCTGACACAGTGTCCACCATTTTTTTCTCACTGTTAATACCAATAGAAAAACTGCTTTTTTTAATCACTGCCTAATAAATTGGAAATTGCCGTACTGTTTTGTTCAGTAAATAGCCCTCATCTGCTTGCCTTCGAAAGCATAACACATTCTACCACTTGGCTATTAGCAGTATCTGGAAAAATAACTAGCACAAATATACACTGGATGCTTTTGTCAGCAATGATGAAAACACGAGGTACGCAAAAAGGGCTTATTGCTATCTGAATCATTCCAGCTCCCAGAACTGAGGAAAGGCAACATACCTCTAGAAAGATGGATTTTTATGCTCTAAAATGAAATGCTTCCCATTGTGATGTTGTAATGGGGCTATTCTGGTCTTGCTGTGCACTCTCTGTTTACATTTATTACCTTACAGAATCCAATTATCGAAGTGAAGCTTATTCAAAATACATAGTGTGGTGATTAATTTAAATGCCACAAGGAAGCCAGGACTTGAGGGAGGAACAAGTTCCAGCTACTCAGCTCCCAGCATGGGCATGGAATTAGCAAAGTTAATATACTCATATGTCTCTATGCACATAAACAGCATATGGAACATGTAATATTCCTATACGTGGCCTATTAGTATTTTAGATATTCCTGTTTACCTCATATCTATAAAAGGCAGAGATGGCTAAGCTTTTCCTAGAGCAGTCCACAGGATTGCTATCACTGATTTGTGTCTGCTGACATATCGCAATATGAAGGAGTTGTATTGCTTTGCCTGAAGCTTTTGGATGCAATCAACAACTGTCCATCATCAAGTGCATTTCGCAAATGCACTGTAGCTTTTGGAAATCAAAACCTGGCACTGTGACATATCTTTCTTCTTTTACTGGTCAAATCAAGACACTGAATTCCAACCACAAAAATGTAACACAATGATATACTGTGAACACAGCCAGACTACAAATAAGTCTTGGTATTGTTACTTACAGACATCTTTTAAATAGGTCTCTGCAGTGTCTTTTGTGGTCTCAAACCCTGCTCAGCACTTAATAGAAAAAAAACCACTGTAATTTTTCTTTTGACCAGTGTTTTGTAGGTTCTCAGAAGTGATGTGTGGAGCACAAGGGGGTGCAATCTCGGCTGTGCCAACGATGCATCTTTCTAGCTGGGGTTAAAGCAGACTGTAAGCCCCAGAGGTGGTCAGAGCCCCTAAATATGTGTCTTGCTCTAGGATTTACTCAGCAGCAGGGTCTCCAGAGACATTTCCAAAGATGAGACCCCTTCACAGAGCAGTGTTGCAGCCATGTCTTCGCATCCCCAGCTCTTCCTTCTTTGCGGTAGCTGTCTCCCTCACACACCAGGTATACTGGTTTGCAGGAATTACCAGGGGAATTAGCTTTTCTAATACACTGGGCTAAGAAAATAATACAAAAGGAGGGAAATATGCAACCTCATTTTTTCAACCTCATTTTTTGCTAAGAGATTTTTTTTGGGGGGGTTGGTTTTTTTTTTCTTTCTTAATTAAAGGTTTGTATCTTCAGCAGTTCAGACCATTTTTTTGGTACCAGTGAATCTAGCAAGATATCTGCTATTGATTTCCAAGAGAAAAGGTATTTGCACTCTAATGTGCAGGGTGGAAATTGTTTATTGGATAGTAAATAAAAGTAAATTGATCTTTAGGGAGCAGAAAGCATTCATCAATTAGGACTGAATTTAGCAAAGTGTTTCATCCAAAAGAAATGGAGTTGAAAGTTTAGACAACATCAATGCATTTCATTTTTGATTGATCCAAAACAAGTTTTCCCCATGTTTCCTTCCTGCCCTAAGAAAAAATGATCTGTTTCAGTTTGGACCAATCTTTTCCACCTCCAGTGCCTCCCCTTCCTGGCCAAGACTTGTTGGTATGGTCACCAAACTGAAACCCCACAGTGCACCCAAGTTTGTCTGTGGCTACAATTTAAAACATTCTAAGAAATTATCTTAGTTTCCCCAGATATATGCTGGATTTATGCAGCTAGAACAGAGCAGAATGTGACATGCTGCATATCACATATAAACATGCATGAAATATATAGGCTTCTAATCTTGTGTTTCCTACTGCTAAATAACTCAAGCTGTTGACTCTAATTCTAAAAAGGAGGGTCAATATTCTAACTGCTAAATATCTAAATGTCTATGTCTTTATTTTGGGTTTTATGTATGGCTTTTTCCTAGCCTTTTCTGTGTTAGACTGTCTTACAGCTGTGCAAACATACGGGCTTTTCTTGGCCTGAGAATGATGATTTGTTTTTTTCCCCCAAAAGACACAGTAGGAGGAGCCCTTGGAATGTAAGGAGGAGATTGTAACAGTAGAGTGCTGTGATAGCAGAGTTCAGTGTCTGTATTGTGTGTAGACAACATATTTAAGCTTTTTTTTTTTTTATACTGGAGCATGTGTTTTTTGTTGTACTATTTTTTTTAAACACTGTGACCATGGATATAGATTGAAACCCTCCTTGATCATTTCTCTTCTAATCATTGTATTATAGCCCAAAGAGTTCTGTGAATGAACAGAGGACATATGAAAGCTTTTTTTTTTTTAGTACGATCTTAATTTTTAAGAATATTCCCCTCTGCACAATTTTCATTGTCTGCATTTTCTCCTGTGCTGATTGATGTGCTTTGGTCACCTATGTCACCACCCAAGGTCCGTTTGAAAAAGGCATTCAACATACAAATGACAGTAGTATAAAGGGCTAAATCTGCTTTTCATCCAGGTATATCATATTTTAAAATTGTTCACCAAAAATAAGAAGAGCATGGAAATGTTTTTGGTGTTATACGTTAGAATGTGACATAGATGTATTATATATTGAGGGAGCATTTATTATCCTGTATCTACTGAGATCCACTGTGGATAACCTGCATCCCATGCTTTAACTTTTGAACATTACTTGTGATGAAGCAGTTTATCTTGTTTATGTCACGTGAGTTTAGGAGCAAGAACACTGTATTTATAAAACTAGGTTGGGGATGGGGTTTCTTCTGTTTTTGATACACTAGTAAAAAACTCACCATGTACAAATGTGTTCCATTGCCATCTAAAAGTCCATTCTTTTTGTTTGATTAAATGTATTTTTGTTGTTACAGAATGCAGCAAATGTACTGAATAAGAAATGCTCAAATGAATCTTTAAATAATCTCTTCCTGTCCTCAGTCTTTTGAAGCCTGAAAATCTTGTAGTTTATTTATGGGCTTGTATATAGCAGCTTTTGCAATATTTTTTATTTTCAGGACAGTGTCATTTTGTCAATGGTATGAAATGTTAATTGAATGAGATGTGAGTTTTAAAATAGGTAATGTAGCAAGAATGACTTTGCCAGTAAGTACTAAAATAATTTAGTTTTGTTGGGTTTTTTTCCCTCAAATAAATAAGATTCTTAATTTCCTAAAAGAACTTTGTTCAATTTTTTTTTCTTTTGACATGAGTTATAAACAATAGCATAACAGTTATGGTTCCCTGTGCGTACTATTGTTGTGATTAAATAAGCAGAGCTTTACTCATATGAGGAGACCTACTATAAGCATCAGGTGCAGCTAGGTAATGTGCAGATAATGCTTTTGTATTAAAGTTATACCCACACAATATACTGAGGAAAGTAATTCCCTCCCCTTTAAGAAAGCAGTCTATTTTATGAAGCATTTGCTGCAGATTATTTCTTCTAACCCAACTATTCCAGCAACCTGGTCAAGGTCAGTTCCTAGGTGAAAAAAAATGACATTTACGGATATGACAAACAGATTCTGTCTCAGACTTAGAGGGAAAACTGCCCATTCTACCAGATCTCTGAATATAGAAGAGTGCGTGTGTGTGTACATACATACATATACATAAATATATGCACACACTTTGCATATATAAATATATATAAAAATA